GGGGAAAACCTCACATTCCTGCCACTCCATTATCTAGCTACCTATCCCCAGTGTTGCTGAGGAGTGAAGGTGACAGCAGGGGTAGCAATACTTCCCCAAAAGCAGATTTACTATCTCACACAAGGAGCAACACCCCAACCAGCCCTGGAATGACTCAAAGGCCCAACACTACCTTTAAAAGAAGGAATTAGGGACTCCTAATTCCCAGCTAAAATCAGAAGGGCCATTTCAGTAAAGCTAAAGAAACGGTGGTCTGATTCAGGTCTTCCCAGAATCGGTAGTGCTCTTTGTGCCATCCTACAGTGCCCATGGAGTCCTCTTAATAAGCCATACGGGACCAGGTCCAACACTCCTCTACTCCTACTTGCTTTCATATGTTTTCATATGTGTAATTTCATAGCTATTCCTCTAGACCAGTTCTGGGAAGATCACAAAAAAAAAAAAAAACAGCAATAAGTTTCTGCTCTCATCTCAGGCCAAAAGCCTATGATTTATAGAGCCCTGAGGAGTATATATGGGTGGGTACGTGGGTGTGCATGCATGCATACATGTGGAAAGGTGATAGTAGCCTAAAGCATGGGATTTACGATTATTACAAAAGTATGCCAATGAATACAAGGTTTGTAATAATATTTAGAGCTAAACCAATATAAATGGATTTATGAGGCCATTTAAGGAAAGTATCAATAAACAACAATTTATGAGGGTGCGTGAAAATATATCATTAAAGTAAGGATGCACCATATAAACTCATCAATTGCTGTAGGGTTTACTGCCTTGTACAGGATACTACAGTTAAAAACATGATGGAAGGCTACATAAGCCCAACTAATCATACATCCCCTTTTCTAGAGAAAATCCTACTAGCACAGTATTGATGGAGAAAACCTGGTGGAATTCATTCCAACTGGCTGTCAGGTGAGAGAATCACACTGGAAGTTTCCCACAGAGCCCTAAGCTGTAGAAAGTGAAAAGCCACACAAAATATCTCTTTTACCGAGAGGCCCAAGGAAATCTTGCCCCATATTGACCTGTGGTGGTCAAGAGCGATCAGGACAGCTGTAGGATTCACTGATTCATCCAGGGTCCCAGGAGCTCCCATAAGAGTGCAGTTGTTCAACTATTGGCTAGCCTTGGGGAACCAGATATAAGAACATCATTTACACTTCTCTAGTAGCTTTTTTATATAATTCCCAGGGCAATATAAATAAGAGTGAGTGCCCTAAGAGGTGATGGTCACCTTTGCTATCACTAAACCCAAGAAGTATGTTGTGAGAGAGGAAATATGTGGTAATGGCACATCTCCCATGCCAAAGGCACTGAGGCAGGACTTCAGCACAAAAACTGGAGTAATATCCCATTATTCCTTATGACTGGAAATTTTACCATGTGGACTTTTGATACATTCATTGTTTTTCATACCTCAGCAAACAAGAGCAGCCCTAATTAATGAAATATTATATGAAATAATTATTATAATTTACATGCTAGTATTTCAAACAGTTTCATTGAGGATTAATTCACAGAAGAGTATGTTAAAGCAAAAAGGACTTTTAGTAACAAGACACTTTCTCAGGACAATATCTGTAAAAGTGAATTTCAAGATAATTAAACAATTGTTTCATGAATTCTACTGCATGTGAAAGGTATTTAAATGGACTATAGTTTAAAAAAACAGATGTTAACACAACATATTTCATGAGTGTCTGAGACCAAATTTCACATGACACATTGGTCACAAGAAGCATTTTTCCTAGGTACCCTTGATTCATTATCAGTAAGATGGATTAAGCAGTCTCTATTTGCTTCATCAATCATCTTTTAATGATGCAAAAGAAGAAAAATAAGAGCAAAAAAATAAAAAAAAAAGAACTAAAACTAAGTTCTTGTGAATAAGGAAAATAGAATAGCTCTGAACACACACAGGATCAAGTCATTACCATTGCCACATTTTCAGGAGCAGAATTTGTCTTTAATGAGTAAAAAACCTGTGATGGATTAATGTCAATGCTGGGAAATTTCCAGTGCTGGTAGCTAATAATTTCATATTCTGCTGCTGTTTAAATAGCCTTTACTATAGTCATGACCCTCCAAAAAAAATATGTTGATCTTCTTAACTCAGTTCTTAACTCAGCTGAACTACCAACCGTGCCTGACATAAGATTCATCTCTTATGAGAAAAACACCATGAAACCTCCAGAAGTTTTACCCCAAAAGATTCTACATCTCATGTACAGCCCACTCAGGGGGTAATCTTTGGATATTTTCAAAACTTGTCCCCAGAACTAGGACCTGAGCAACCTGAGCTACTTGGATCTACTTTGAGCAAAGTGTTGGGCAATGGACCTCTGGATGTCTATCCAACCTAAATTATTCTATGATTCTATTACAGTGTTTAAAATCCACTGCTCTAGGGCTGAGAGAGCTCTTTGGAAAGGTCATTTTACCTGCAAATATTTCTCAATGCCCATCACCTTAAACACTCCAATCCAGCACTTTCTGAGGAGGCACTCTTTATTTCAGGGCAAAAAAAATATTCTCTCATGCTGTGAGACCAAGCTATATCTGGTGTAGTGCTGTTATCCAAGTCATTCCTTTAAGTATTACATCTATACGCTGTAAGAGTAGATGCATCTCCATGGCCTTTAGTGATCTTAAAGATCCTCCTAAAAGCCTGGTATATGGGAGAGAGTGGAGGAAGGTAAACCCCTCCAGGAGAGTAATCACCCCATTTTAACAGAGCAGGACTACCCTGACCTCTGGAGCTGCCTGCCTCCTTCCACTGCTTACAGAAGCAGTCCAGACAACAGCTTTTACACTGCACTCTGATTTTTAGGCAACTGGCATTACAGGAAACTGAATGCCCACTCTTCAGGCATAAACACAGAAAATATTGAATGCAACTTGGCCACTTTCCTCTGAAACCGTCAGCACTTGAGTCTGTTCCTAAGTATGACAGAGAAACCTCCTTCTCCCCTTCAGGGCTTTAAACACTGGATTTGCCACTAAAAAGAGAAATAACAAGAGTTAAGCAGATCATCTCTGAATGATTTGATCACAGCTCCCTAAAAGATTTCCTTCTCTTTTGTGGACTGGTTTTGTTTTGCTTTTTGTTGCTGTCCTCTGAGAACAGACGTAGTGCTTTTGCCACAGAAACATTTGTGCAGCACTGCGTACTAAGCAAGTCTTAGAAGAGGAGCCTGAACATCTTGGATCCCAATTCAATCTCTGTGAGCTAAATTCCTTGCAGGAAGGTGACAGTGGTGCTCATAGAAGCAGACCTTCAAAAAGCCAGAGAGAGCAACAGTGCTGTGTATGTAGCACTTTCCATCAGTTAATTCCCAAGAACTGCACATATGTTTTCAGCATTCATGTTCCCATTTCACAGAAAAGACAGTAACAATGAAGAACAGGGAGGGGAAGAGAAGTCTACCATAGTCTCTAGGCTGACTACAAAATCATCAGTCAGAACTGAGTTTGTTGCAAAGTCTCCCCAGGCTCAGGCTGAGTTTAACCTCATTTCTACTGTGGCTAAGGATGAAGGGTTTTTTATTTATTCCTAGGGATTCAAAGAAGTGGACATGAGATATGTTAGGAAAGAGCAACAAGAGAATAAATGTATAGGTAGTCTAAGTAGACTGTACAATGTCAAAAGAAGTGTTAAATTTCTTTTTCCCATACAGAGTATCTGATGAAAACAAACATCACACAATGCAATTAAAAACAAACGTTCTATTTTCCACTTCTTGCTACAGCTGTTTGTTTTAAACATATAAAGATTAAGGGAAGAGGAATTTAATTAAATCCCCAAAGAACTAATGATATCTATGCATATTAAATTTTTAAAGGCACTTGTGCCTATTCAGCCAATCATTCACGGGACTGTCATAACATGCCTCCCAACCTTAATTTAAATTAGAAAGAAGAGACCTGTGAAAAAAATGTCCAGACAGTAACCTTTTCACTGCACATATGTTTAAGAGATAAACGTTCCATTTAGCGTTAAAAGGCAACAAATCTAATAAATGGCCACATCATCATAATTCAACAGTGGAAAAAAAATCAATGTTACAAATTTTGGTACTGCATCTCTCAAGAAGGTAAATTAAAACATCAATTCAAGCCTATTCTAAAGAGCTTATAACAGGAACATTTATATCTTAACACAGAGACTCTGAGATCACTCCAGATAAAACTAAGACTTTCCTGGAAATGTGGTATGTGCAGCAGCGTTTGCTGGGGCTGCCTTTGAAGCCCAACAGAAAGCAACAGGCTTTTATGGGAGATTTTGCCTTTCTCTTTTCCCCTTCTCTAGCAAAGTCATGTCCTTCTCTATATCTGTACCTATACCTTCAATAAGATAACAGGATGTGGGTCTCTGATGAAGATTTCTCAGCGACATGGAAAATGCTTTCTTGTCCTCTCTGCAAGAATTTAGCGAATTCTCTGATATTACCCTAAGTACATTTCTAGTCCAAAGCTACAATCGCTGAATCTTTTTTCTTGTTACCAGGTTGGTTTTAAATGCAGGCTGTATAGTTGCAAGGGCTTGTATTCTTGCACTTGGTGTGATTTTTCTCGCAGTGTATACAAAGTTTTGTTTTCCCAATTCATACACAGTTACCCTGTCTCAGACAAGAGTCCTCTTCCCTGCATCTCCTAAACACTAATAATTAGGTGTCTCCCATTCCACCTACTTTTCATATTGTCATTCAGCATTAACAGAGATAATTTTGCTAGCCCAACAAAGTAGAGCTTCTTGCTAAATAGAAAGTTTCAATACTACTCCTCCATGTCTCACAAGTAACTGTTGATTCTCTTGAATAAGGATTCAGACAGTGTTTAGAAAAGTACTGCTTTGACTATGTTTAGGCATGTTTTTATGGATTATCAATCATAACAGGAAAAGATGCAGCCACTAAGTACTAATGTTTTCCTGTCTATGGCAGACTCTTAAACTTTACTTTGCTGATGCAACAGAGCCTTGGTCAGGCACTTACCTATCAAATACTCCAGCCAGAATTGGTCAATGCCTGGCTTGTAGGGTTGGTTGAAATCAATCTGGATTTGGAAAGGCTGTCCTCGACGCACTATCAGCTTAGGGCTGTAATACTTGTCGGTATGGTGCTCTTGCTTGTTAATCTCATAGGGTTCCTTAAACAGATGGATATCCACGACATGCAGGTATTCTATGGAGGCACACAAACAGAAGGGGAACGAGTTAATATATTTGAATGTCTGTATTGATATACCAGTCATTAGAGGCCCACTTGTCCCCCTCCCCAGCACTGCCTCATCAAGAAAAGTACCATTTTCAAGAAAAGCACCATTTTGGACCTTTTGGATTAGGAGATCCAGGATCTTATACTTTCCTGGCTAGACAGGGATTAATGGACTTTAAATGCTCTGTTCCCCTGCCATTGTATCAGAACCTAACAGGCACGTAGTGAAAGATATAAGCAATTGCCAAAGGGGCAGGGACCCACAGCTAAAAAGCTGAATATTCCCTAGAAGAGCCGTACTCTTGTCTCTCCTTTGTCATCAGCTTTCTACAAGTCTGGGCCTTGCTGTCACAAGTCTGTCAATAAAATCAGTGGATGTTTGACAGCTGTAGATTCATGTCTCCCTTCCTGCAGTTCTCTATTTGTAAAATGCAAATTCACAGGGGTTTTGTGTTGCTAAATACATTAACTTTTTAAAAGCACAGCTACTATCAAATGCTAAAAAGCCTGTGAGTCAATTAATGATCTTGCACTCAGCTGAGAGCATGGATTGTTTGTATTAAATAAGACTTTGGTCTATTGTGTGTGTGTCTATATACAGCTTCGCAGCACACCTCCACTTCTATTAGCCTCTTTCAAAAATAGTAAATATAACATTACAATGTAAGTACAGTATACAGTTATACCCAAACAGCAGTAAATATCCATAACATGCAGGGATAAAGTACATGCCTCACACCCTTCAAATGTAGGCTACATAAAGGGTTATAGTCTACCACTACTAGACATTAGTCTGCTTTGTTAATGACCAGTGTGGGGTGGCATCATGAAAAAACAAAAGGTACTTGCAGTCATCACTAGCTGAATGACTGTACTATGCAGGAAATCTTCACGATAGGAGTCTTTTCTAACATATATTCCTTCCATGTGCACATTTAAGTAGTAGCCACTGCCTTCAGAGTGAAACTAACACCTAGCAGCCATATGAAAATAAACTGGATGTTAATCTCATACATACTTAGGCAGATAATCATCAAAACTGCCTGTAGAGCCATTACTGCTCACCATGACGAGAGAGATAGGAAGAGTAAAGCTTGATTTGCTTGCATTTCCAAGTGCTGACAGTTAGAAACCAGATAATTTCTGTATTTTATACCAAAGATTACAAAGCCAAACTCATGCCTGGAAAAAAAGAGGTACATGTTTAAGGCAGCTGGTGGAGCTCTGCGCACTCATGACGGTGGTTCTTAGGTGGACATCAGCATATCTAGGGCTAAACACAACCCATTCCACATAACTTCACGTAACAGCTTTATATAGAGCTTTCTAGGAAGGCAGGAAGACATTGAATAGAATGAGGCTCTGGACAAGTAGCAGACCCACTCCATAGCTGTCAGAAAGCCTCGGGGCTGTATCAGTGTACAGACTAGCCCTGTCCTTTTGCAGAGAAGTGTGCAAGACATCAGTGGAGTTGTGTGGGCAGCAACCACTTGAGCACCAAAATGGCCCTTCTCCTGCCTTAGCCAAGGTAGCCAGCACTGGACTTGGACAACAGCTAGTGGAGAGGCAGCAGGAGGAGGTTCTTGCATGTTGTCACTATCTGCTGCACATCACTGTCCTGCCAGAAACAAACTAAAAGAAATTACTTTTGGTATGGTAGGTGTAAGCCCTATAGAACCGAACAGAAAAACAGCAGCTTCTTGACAAACCTAATCTACAGAGAGGTAGATTTAATCCCCATTCTAATCCTACAGTAGGCTTAAAGTCCTGGGACAATGTTAGTGTTATTCTCTGCTCAATTCTCTTGGCTTCTGGAGTAACTTCTGTAGATCCCCACTGGCTTTAGTGCTGGCTGAAGTTAGGGAGATGGCTGTTGTGTGAAATATTAAATACATTTTGCTCAGGATTCACGTTCACATCTCTGCATGAGGTGGGGCACTCACAGTAATGCTAACAAGGCTCATAATTAAATGATGTGAGGCAGCAGTTTCCTGGAGAACTGTAAAGTGTGTGTGTGTAGGGGGTCTTCTGTTATCTCCCCTGCCCCTTCTTAAAACACTCCAACTAAGAGCTGCATATCTTGGGACTCTCTAAGAGGTGAAACAATTGGCAAGTTAGGCATAGCTTCTCTGGCCTTCCAAGGGGGTATAAAAATTCAGTTGAGCATTTGTTGCCTTTTCATCGTGTGTTTTGAAAACACAGAAAATAGTCACCTAGTTCTTTGTTTCTAAGTAAGCCCACTCAAGAAATGGTCAAAGCTGAGCCACCCCAGCATGTCAGTTCTGCATTTGTTTCATTTTATGTCATGGTTTTACAAAGCTCATACATAGCTGCAGGAAAAGAAGTCTCACTTTCACTATTCATTTTAAAATGAACTGCTCAGAGGTCACCAGACAAAGATGACTTGTGAATGAGCCTGTGCTAATTACAGTAATGGAAATTATGGAGGGCAAAACATGAGCAGGATAGGTGAAGGCTCTAACTTCATCACTGGGGTGTGCTTGAAGGGAAGGCTCAAAGCACTGCACATGATTTTGCCTCCCTGTGTCTCAGAGGGACAGTTAGCCATTGAGGGCTGCCTCTGAAGTCTAGTTCACCTGATGATTTGCTCGAGTCTGGCCTTCTATGTAGTGCAAGCATCTTTCCTGCATGAGAAGCAATACTCTTAAGCTTTCTTAAAGCTTTTATAATTTAAAATTTTAATGAAAACAAGTTTGACATGTTTTGTCATTTAAAAGGATAGCTTTCAAACATCAGCCTTTCTTGGAGGACCAGAGAAAAGGAGCTGTGGGTTACAAACCAAACAGTGGGAGTTTCCAAAGGAGGAGCCCATTGCTGGGTTGGCAGGAGAAGCATGATTCCCTGGTGAGGACTTTGCAAAGGAGTGGGGAATTTGCGGGGCCATGTGACCACAAGGCTGAGAGTCACACCCTGAGCAGTGGTAGGTGTCAAAGCCACCCAGAAAATGTTCTGAGGAGGGGAGAACACAGAGCAGGCATAATCACAGAGACACAGGCTTCTTCTTAAAGCAGCACTCAGCTACACATTTTCCTTACTAAACTCTCCCTCCCTCAAATGAGCAGAGCTCAGGTAGCAAGCAGGGGAAGCGGCAAGCAGCCCCTGAGCAGGGGCTTGGGAAGCAGACAGCCCAGCAGCCCTCAGCAAGTCAGTCTGGGTGTGATTCAGCTGAGGAGAAGTGGGTGTCAGCAGAGAGCTAGTGAAACATGCAGTTTACCTCATCCTAGAGTAATAGCTAAAATAGGTCAAATGAATCACACCCTAAAAATGCCTGTTTCTCTCTGTTGGCTGTCAAGGGAAAGGAGAGTGACTAGCTCAGCTGTAGACACCTACACTGTACAGATCAAGGGCAGGATTCAGCCCAAGACTAAATTCTTTAAATTTAGGTATCTAAATGATGTGTGTCTGATATGTAACCTCTTATTATAGCCAGTGGGATCGAGTGATGCAGTCAGTGGGGTTGACAGACATGTACAGATTACCTCAAACAGACATCCACTGCAGGCAGCCACCGTGTGCCCTCACCTCCACTCGCGGACAGGGTCTGTGTTGGCTACAATCTGACGCAAGTGACACTTAGGTGCTTATAGCAGGTGTCAGATTCCTAGCCCAGAGGCTAGCAAACACCTCATCTTAAAAGCAGAACTGAAAGCATTCGATTGCTTTTATTTTATTTTTTTTCAGGTTGCTGGGAAAATGAAATCTGGGAGCCATAGCAAAAGACTTAGGCAAGTGAGAAGTGTGGAGGTGTGCAGAAGGGGAAGGAGAGCAGCACAAGCAGTCCTCTGCAAGAGTGTGCTTCACTGTGCTACAGCCCTGCCATCCCTTGCTGCTCCTGCTCTACCCGCAGACTCTCGCTTCATCTCCAAGCACAACACTGCATTTGCTATGGGCAGGCTCACCTCCCAAACTTAAGTCCCAATCTGAGTTGTATTTAGAAAGCATCAAGCTAGAAGTCTTTATCTGTTTTGGCAGATGGCTTAAAATTCTAAACCAAAACTGTGCCCAGGGACCTCACTTAATGTCAGATGATGTCGCAGTCTTAGATTGCAGCTGATGTGCACTGAAATGGGTAGGCTGCTGTAGTTCCCTTCCCTTCCCTTCCCTTCCCTTCCCTTCCCTTCCCTTCCCTTCCCTTCCCTTCCCTTCCCTTCCCTTCCCCTCCCTTCCCTTCCTCTTTTCTTCCATTTCCCTTCCATTTCTTGTCCACCCTCCTTCTCTTCCCTTCTCTTTCTCTTCTACTTCCCTTCCCAACTCTTTTCCCACTCCATGTCACTCTTCACATGTTTTTGCCACAAGTACTTCATAGCTGAACTAGACAGCAGGGTTGATTCAGCTGTATAATAAGGGTCTGGCTGCTGCGCAAAAAAGTGTATTTCAGCCATATCAGTCACATTGCCAGGTTTATCCTATGGCCACACAAACACTTGCACTGCACCAGGACTGTTTTTCTGACTAGCAGTATCATCTTAAGCAAATGTGAAGCTCCTGCCTTAACTTGCTTGACCTGACATTCCTAAGTTTCCTTAGGATTTCCAAAAGAAAACTCCTATCCATCAGCAGCATACTTCATACTGGTATGAAGCATACTTACTGGTATGAAGCACTCTAAAAAAGCAGTAGCCCACATCCTTACCCATCTTCATCTTCTATGAGCAGACTGGATTTGAAATGCTATCTAGGAAAACTGCTACTACATTATATTCAACAATTTAAGCAAACACACTTGCCCCAAAGCTACAGAGTTGTTTGAAAGAATACAGATGAAGTTTCTAGAGCCTTAACATGCCAGTAAGCTTGCTAAGACATTTTTTAAATAAATGTTTTTTAAAGAGAAGAGTGTGCATTAAAATGGCATGTAGTTCAGGTTTGGAGATTAGGATTACAGAAATAATGGTCACTTAAATTCTCTTTGCCTATTTGTCAATGTGTAATACTCAGTAATTCATGCTTGTCCACATTTATTAAGCTCTCATTGAACCTGGGATAAAAAGTCCCTTATGAGTGTTAAGTACTATTACATCTGGCTGTTTTGAGTTGCCACATTCAACAAATCTGCTAATAATTTCAAATAGACTAAAAATTATTTTGTTGGTGACTCATTCAAGATCATATCCTGATTTCTTTTAATCCAACTCTTAAATCTATTATTTTCAGGGTCACTCCAAAGAGCTGATAATGAGGTTGTGGACTGATTTGCCCTCTCCCTTACATGATACCGCTTTGTTTCCCCTGCCAAATGATTGAAGCACTTTTCACTAAAGAATGATGAAAAACATGAACATTCATCTTGGTTTCTCAGACATTTTTCCGAGTGAGCTGCTCATCTAGCAACAGTTTTCCCTACCAGCCCCATCTGCAGTAGCTTTGCAGTAAGTTTAGGATGCACGTGGCAGAAGAGATGTTAAGAGTCTTCTCTTCATTTCACCCTAGTTGCAGATATTCCTGAGCCATGCTGACGTAGCATCAAACCCTATAAATTCAATCTTTTATTCTGCTATTTTCCAGGAGCATTTTTAAATCACATCAGTGTCCTGATCTGCTTAACCACAAGCTACATGGATGTTTACAGCTGTACTAGAAAAGGGGACGATACCGAGCTGGGAAGAAGTGTCCAGTGGCAGGACCATCTCTCCTCATGGCAGTGACAGGTTATGACAACTTTGACTGCTTATGAAACTATATCCCTCTTTCTATGTTCTCTCACCCCAGATATTCAATGACCAACACTACCAACTATACAAAGCAGAGCCTTTATCCAACCTGGCCCTGAAACAGTCACCTTCATTTTAAAACACTTGATGAATTCATCCTAAAGTGACTCTGTGACTGTAATAAAATTGAGAAAACCTGCTCTTACATTTTAACTACTCCCAAAGTTCAAGCTGAGAACTGGTCACTCAACTTCCCTACCCTTCACTTCCTCCACTCATAATCTGAGGTTATATCTCTACTAACACAGGTGTTTTTGTTATTGTTATTATTATTATTTAATAAGCCAGAAATGTTCTGGTTTTAACTCATACATCTAGACAGAGATGAACACAGAAGATGTAAACATACACTTATATCTTAATTGTACACTATACCTTTTGGATTAAACCCTCTAGGTGTGAAACCAAAAACCTCCATTTCAGGGACCTCATTTTCTTCAGCATTGGAGTTGTTTGATGGAAGGGCTCTTCTCCCATTCAGGAGGGGTTTCTTCTGTTTTTTGGTGCTTGCTGTTTCAGACATCCTGTGTTAAAAATGTTGCAATGCCATGAAAAAAAATAATGCAAAGAAAAAGAGAACATGAGCCAGCATGGTACATGTAAAATGAGAGAAACAAAAAACAGTGTGAGGTGCCAGTGAGCTACACATTTTTAGACTCACATAAATAAAAACTGAGAGGCACAAAACATCAGTCTAATGATGGAGTACAGCTCCCCAAGGCTTGGAAGGCATTTTGTGTTTGTCAAAACACATGAATAAGAGAAGAAGGGCAGAGGGGAGGGAAGGAAAAGGAAGCTTAACACATATAAATATTTGTCTGGGAGAAGCAGGGCATTCAAAACATTTGAGAGTTTCTATAGGCTAGCATAAAATGTGGAAATTTATTCACTCCCCTACCCTTCAAATCAGTATTATGGTCTCCTAAATAGTGAATGATATCCCCAGAAATTTAATCACACATTATCTCCACCAATAAAAATGACATTCTATGTTATACTGTAGTCATCCCAAATACTACAGCCTATGACAGTTTGTGGATGATTACTGGAATATTATATTTTTGGGACTATGCTTACATACACCCAATATGTAAAGAGCTATCCCAACACACAGACAATCTGCCTGGGAGAAGGAGACCAGGACAGAAAGTGATAAAGACAGAGAGAGGAAGAGAGGGAAGGAAGGAGGGGGAGAAAGAGAGAAAGAGAGAAAGAGAAAGAGAGAAAGAGAGAAAGAGAGAAAGAGAGAAAGAGAGAAAGAAAGAAAGAAAGAAAGAAAGAAAGAAAGAAAGAAAGAAAGAAAGAAAGAAAGAAAGAAAGAAAGAAAGAAAGAAAGTCTTCCTTCCTGAAGGAAGGAAGGAGAGGAAAGAAAAGAAAAGAAAAGAAAAGAAAAGAAAAGAAAAGAAAAGAAAAGAAAAGAAAAGAAAAGGGAAAAGAAAAAACAAAAAGAAAAAGAGAAAAGAACTTATCTACTACCTCTGAGGGAAATCTCAGATGTAGACAGCTCAGAGACTTCTCTTTGAGGTAGTCAAAAACTAGTTTCACATCTCTCTAGTGTAATCATATAGCAATCAAAGAGCCATGCCATCCTTCTAAGAAAATTAATGGCTGAAAATACAGCTTCTTCCCAAAGCTGCCCAAAACAGCAAGAAAAAAGTAGCAATTATTTAATAGCAGTAAGTGCTTAAAGGAAGTTTTCTATTAGGAAGGGTACCTTCTTTTCAGGTAGTCTTTTTTTTTTTCTTCTTCTCCTCTCAGATTTTCTTAACAACAACACAATCCTGGAAAAAGTTGGGGGCTTTTAAGCAACCTCGGAATATACCCTCCTCCCTCCTGTTGTAATAGGGAAGTGCTGAGAGGGTTGCCAAACACTCCCCACACCACCTCAGAGGATCTGCCACCACTGCTGTCACATCTTGTGTGACATTCGCTTACTCGCTTCCTCTCAGTGCCTCTCTTACCCCCATCCTAGTGACCAGGAATGTTTCAGAGCACTTGGATTAAGGAGGCAGCTTGGGTACAGAAGTTTTAGTTCTCAGTGACACTGAGTAGTGCTGCTCATGACCTGAGGATATATAGACTAGGTGACGAAAGAAGAATTTCTGAGGCCACCACCCAAGAAATAGTTCTTCATGTTGCCAGTCTTTAATGGTGTCTTTATATCAGGGTCCCTGCAATGCAATTTTACCCGGGCAGACACAGTGGATATTCCTCTGTCACATATGTATCTCTGTCCTCTATTCCTCTGTACAGTACCCCTTGGCAGTCCTTTCAGAGGACTGTGGGGCACACAGCTCATTGATGGTCCAACCAAAAGGACCTTTTCCTTGCTTAAACTCTATGCAATTAAACTATGTTGAGGGTAAATGATTTTCAGCTCTTACTTATGGTAAAACGTGAATAACCTAACAACCAGTGTTTGGGCCATAATTCAATGTGTGGTGTTTCCAGTCATTCTCTAGGCTTGCAGTCCCAACAACTGTCTCTTTACAGCCTGTCTCTGTCCTTCTCTGCAGCCTGTGCTCTCTCTCTGGGTGTACTCTCTAGCAGTTTTGGGCTGTGTGTCTGATCTCTGCCCAAGGGCAGCAAGGCCCTTGATCAAATACTAGGGAGAGGATGGGTGATCAAACACTAGGGAGAGGATGGGCTGCATCATTGCATCCAGAATTCCTCAGGTATGGAAAAGTCTTCCTGACCTATTTAGGGATGACAGAGGTTGAGTCTTAAGGGACTTACCCTAAATAGGCAGGTGACTTGTATCAGGAGCAGTGTAGCCAGCAGGACCAGGGAAGTGATAGTCCCCCTGTACTCGGCATTGGTGAGGCTGCACCTTGAATACTGTGTTCAGTTTTGGGTCCCTCACTACAAAAAGGACATTGAGGTGCTGGAGCATGTCGAAAGAAGGACATTTAAGTTGGTGAAGGGGCTGGAGCACAGGCCTCACGAGGAGCAGCGGAGGGAGATGGGATTATTTAGTCTGGAGAAGAGGAGGCTCAGGGGAGACCTTACTGTTCTCTAGAATGACCTGAAAGGAGGTTGTAGTGATGTAGGAGTCAGTCGGTCTCTTCTCCAAAATAACTACTGAAAATAGGACAAGAGGAAATGGCCTCAAGTTGCCAGGAGAGATTCAGGTTAAACATTAGAGAGAATTTCTACAAGGAAAGAGTAGTCAAGCATTGGAACAGGCTGCCCAGGGAAGTGGAGGAGTCTTCATCCCTGACAGTGTTCAAGCAACGTGTAGATAAGGCACTTCTGGACTTGGTTTTGCAGGTATGGTGTTGAAGGGCTTCAATGATCTTAAAGGTTTTTTCCAACCATTATGATTCTATTTGTTATTGCCTTGTGTCTTTCAGACAGATGTAGCCTCAGAAAAGGCCATGGGGAAGTAGTGTGGGGAGATCCAGAACCTGGAGCTCCTTCCTCCCTTTTGCCTCATACCAACCTGCATGGTGGGGTCATAGATTGCATACAGTGCCAGTGATTTGGTGAAAATTCTGCACAGGCCTGTTTTGCAGTGCCACAAGTGGCCTTGGGATGAGTAACACACCTGAAGTCCTCTGCTCTGAAGGGATGGCAGTGTAGATGTAGTCCCTCAACTTAAGGTCTGCTGGGCAGTCTGTTGGAAGGATCTAAGAGAGTAGTGTTGACATAGTACTGTAGACCTGAGGACCTTCCCTTCTCTTACTCACCTTCAAAATAATGTCAGAAAGTGACTTACTTAGTGTCATATCTCCTCCCTCTGCCATACCAACTTTATTCAATTTCAATAAGCTTTAAAAGAACTGGGAAATAAGCTCATTATCACTTTCTCTATCAGAAATAACTCTGTAGACAAACCAGGCAGTGGAGACTCTCTTCAAGGTATGGGACTATCCATGATCATTTGCATGGTTGCTCAGTTGCATGGTTGGCGAAGGTGTGAGAAGACAAAATGAGGGACTCCACAAAGCTGACTTTCTTTCAGCCATCTATAGCTTCCAGACCAATAACATCATCAAGGATTCAAAACTTTGCTGACTTACACCATTGAAATCAAGGCAAGGCAGCACAGGAGAGAATCTGCTTATAATCCTGTAATGGTAGATCATGTGGGAAAAAATAAATAGAAAGGAATTCCCATCTCAGCTTTCTGGGATTTTCCTAATAAATCACAGCAAGGGAGCTCCACACAAGCCAGTAAGCCTGCACAGCAAAGCACGGGGAAGAGATGCTAGCTGGAGTCTTGGAAACAGCATCAGCACTGCACTGTAGCCAACCTAATTAGCTTGATAGGGGTAATTACCTAGGCACAGCACCAGGTTGAAGTGGTTTTGGAGCTGCCTAGCTCTTTCCACAAGTACAGTATGAACTGTGTCTTAGCCAGAGGGCTCCAGTGTCCTCCTCACTCTCCCAGAATGTTCCTACGTACATAGCATAGGAAGTCATTCTGGCCAGTGTACTGCACTTCTCGTGCAGTGCTTCTCCAGGTGTGCAAACATCCCTCAAGGAGAGAGCTGGTCCTACTGCTCATTCTGAATTTCATCCTGAATTGCGATTTCCACTGAGTTGTTTTTATACAGATGGGCCTTGTGACAAACATCTGGAGGGCAAGTAATACTCCTGACACCAAGGAACTCAAAGAGCTTTCTGTGGGAGGAGGTTGGTTGCTGATTTTTTTTTGCTCTTTGATTTTTATATGCTGTGGTTTGTTTGTGCCTCTCTCTACATTTCCATCCAGCATTCTAGTTCCCAAAACTACAGCTGCTGTGACAATGTTACAAAAACTGATGTAAATATTGCCTCAGTGCCATGCCTGCTGGAGGCCTGCAACACAAATAAGAAATGCAGTCTTCTGAGGAAGTCATGTGCTTCCCCAAGTGGCAGTGGTGCTGCCAGACCTGGGAGTAAAATTTTTAGTCAGAGACAGAAAGAGATACAGCTGATCAACCCCATCCCAGCCCTTGTGCCTTAGCAGCCAGCAGTTGCAAATGTCTCCTTGTGCCCACTGAGATCTCTCCAGAGCTTTCAGCAGACACTGAGAGTACCTCAGAAAGCAAGGAGACCACAGCATGTGGCGATGGCAACAACAGTGGGGCTTGGCATTCAGGGAGGGTAACGTTCCATAGGCTGTGATTTATTTATTTTGTGGGGAGTGATGTAAATTCATGCTTATGACAGCTCCAGATGGCAGGTATTTTCTTGTTACCCTGACTTCTTAGCGTTTGTTCTCCCTTGCCTATTAGGCTGCACTGGTCTTGATTTAACTTCTGTGGTTCAAAACCACTGGCGTCAGGGCTGATGCAATAGGAGGCATGGAGAACATGAAGCCATGGCTTTCGAAAAATGCTTTATATTTAATTAATGATGCACTGGAATGACCGGTAAAAAAGTCCTATTTCTTTGTGATGCTGCTACTGCACTGCACACTGTAGGGAACGGAGTCCATCACCATTTCTCAGAGACAGCCTTCAAATGTTCATGCCCTCTGCTAAAACTTTTGCAATTATGGATGCTCTTTCAATGGCTCTGATAGAGAATTTGGATGATGAACAGCAATTCTTCCAAATCCCCACAGAAAAGCCCCTAAAATGTCTGGAAAGCTTGTTTTGTAAAGAGGTATCCAGAGTTTAGCTTTCTCTTGATTTAACAGCCAGTGTCACTTTATTCCAATTTCTCTCCTGTTGGTCAAGAGTTTTGGGGAAAAAAGAACCCCAAGCCCACAAAGGTCAATAAAGTTTTATAACCAGAGAGGATGCCATGTTGAGGTCTGTCACAAGCAAACTGATCACTATCATGAACCATGTGCTCAAATGAAAGGGTTGTTCTGCTCCGTGTTGAGCGCTGTGAAGGAAACATATTTTGCTGACAATTTTTTTTAGCTATACGAACTACTGCTCAGCTGCAGCTGAACATTGTAATGCTGTGCAATGGGAAGAGTTTTGTTTTTGTTTTGTTTTTACTTCAAAAAACACCCTAATGACATTTATAGACATTAGATGTATGCTCAGACTCACTGGGTCATTGTATTATAGGATATGCATAAGAGCACTTGCAAGGACATCATCCTCTAATTCTCCATAAACCAATCTTTTTCAACCCTCATCTTCTATACATACTATTCATAGACCTCCTTATCTTAGAGCTACACTCAGGAACTTGCAGCCTTTCTTAGATGGCCTAGTATCTCCACCCTCCCTGCACATTACCACTTGACTCCCAGAATGTCATTTTGCTCCTCTTATGATGCACTGCCTCACCACAGTTGTAGGCAGCACAGAGTAGACTCCAGTAGAAAATATGATTAAAAATTATATATTTTTAACTGAGCAAATTCTGGATATGTTCATTTAGTGCGTTTTTTTTTGCATATTTTGCTTTCAATTTTTTAAAAAACAAATCCCCAAGTGGCTAATGTATCTTTCCCTGTGTAACAGCTCTGGTTATCATACTCAGAGAAGCATTTATTTGTGTTAATGCTGAAAATTCAGAGGGCCTCTCTCTGAAATACGGCATGTGTACACACGTCTGTATGTGTGAAAGGGGGCAGAGGCAGACAGAGATAAAATGGCAGATCTTCAGATGGTGCAACATTTGGAGAGGGGATATAGGGCTAATTTTCAAAATATATTGTTGCAAATGTTTCTGTTGCAGGCAATATATATACATACATATGTATATACATACATATTTTGCTAAGAAAATGTGGCTAAGGAAATTGAACTTTTCTCTGAAAAATTGTTATTTCAAATAGCAAAT